TCAGAGAAAGCAATAGTGAAAAAATGTTGTTCACTATGCCTAGTCTGGGTACGCGGCAGTGCACCCGCCGAGACCAGCACGGCCAAACACACTTTTGAAATACCTGTAACTCCCTTGTGGATAGAGATAGCAGGTTGAAATTCAAACATCAATAGACATACCGGAATTCAATATTGCCAAAATATCTTTTAATTATACCTAGTAGTTTACAAATTATAGCTAGTTAAAATCTTCGCTTTTTTTACACAAATGCGTATTTTATCATAATTTAAAGACACTTCCAATGGTGCTACAAACTTGAAAATTAGCATTTTGTCACCGCTGTTTTTAGTTGTTGTTCAGTCTTCACGCGGCGTAAAAAGTGCGCCCGTACTATTGATCACTTAGACTCTAAATTCCTTACAATTTTTGACGCCTATAAGATTACAAGCGGTGCTTACGAAGAGAAGTATTCAAGATTCATTTCAGTATTTGGCCGTAACACTCATTGGTTAAAATTCTGTAGCATTGACAAATTCCATTGTAAAAGAATTCTAGCCTGTTCACACGATACAAAAATCTAAAATATAGATTTTTAATGCGGTAACTTTAGATCGCAATCCCAGATCAGGATGACGACACTTAAGTTCAAAAGCTTTATTGTTATACGATTAGACAGTAAACGAATGGCTATTAGTACAAATACACCTATGTTCACTTTTTTATACAATAAGGTAGTAAACAAGCAAGCGGCCAACTAAATCGGTCAAAATGGCGAAACGGCCGCTGCCCATAGACATCCTCAGTTGCAGTGCGTTGCCTACCCAAAATAAGAAAAGTTCCAATATTAACGTTTTACTGTTACGAGCCGCGCATTACTGAAAGTGTCTGGGCGGCTGTTTACCCCATCAAAAATGTCTGCCTTCTTGCAGGGGGTATTGTTATAAAGGCCCAAACATTACAAAAGTAAATTTTAGTCAAATTTTTGGAAACTTTAAATCGTCTGTCTTCGAAAACGGCCCACGGAAATTTCCAGTATTTATTTAGTAATTCTAACAGTGTTCTTCAACACATATGTGAAAATAAGTGAACTTAGGTGTATTTTTTACCAACTTCAGCGCGTTATAGCCCATAACTGTCCCATTAGACAGGACAACTAAAAGGCCATTCGGTTACATCACAAACGAGTACTATCAAATTGTATAACAATTATCTCTAACTTAAATGTCGTCATTCGTCTGTTCCTTTGGTAATTCCAGGTCCCTCGCAATACACCTGACGAAAATCAACGTTGCCTAGTACTAAGTTAGTAATTACTAAGAAAGAAATTTACGAAATTCCTGTCCTAAGAATTCAGTTGGGGTCCAATGTTAGTACTTTTTTTTTTATAACATAAGGTGGCAAACGAGCAAGCGGCCACCTCAATCCGCCAAAATGGCGAAGCGACCGCTGCCCATAGACATCCGCAATTGCAGATGCGTTGCCTACCCTTATCCGACGGAGGAGGAGACGCACATAAAGAGGATATTTCCCCTTCCTATGCATATCCTCCACCGTCAAATCCACTTCCTCTTCCCATCCTCTTCTTGTAAGAAAAGGGTGGTAAAGAGAAAGGGACTAAAATTAGGCCTCCGGCACTACACTCATCAGACGAAACACGGAATTGCTTTCATTTCACGCCTCTCTTCTGTGTGGTCGTGGTATTACACCGGGCGTGCCGGCCCATTCGTGCTAAGGTGTTAAAGTGGGCACTACCACTGTTAAAGTATGGAGCATTGTTATTACTTACTTAGTATTGGCTTAAGCCGTCTTAAAAACAACTGAAAATTAATTGTTATATGTTTTAAGCTTCTTTCAAATTTATCATGTAAATAAAAAAAAGTATACGTGAGTAAGCCGTAAATAATTAATTATAAAATGTCTCACGAAAGTTTAAATAATTTAATCATCATGAAAAGGTTGAAAAAAGGGGCGAACGCAAGTTTTGATTTTTTAAACTCCACGCGGACGAAGTCGCGGACAACTACTAATATATAGAACGACAAAGACATCTGTCCCTGTGAGCCAAGTCAAACTAAATTATGACAGCTCACTATCCACCTCTCTCCACTTTAAAAAAGATCACAAAATCCATTTTATACTGTTGTATTATAGCTGTTATGTTGTATTTATTTCTTTTGTATCATTTTCTATACCCATATAAGTATTTCACCAACCAAAAGCACTAACGAACGTATTTATTGATTGGTATAAAAAAGGGTCGACGCACCGGGTTTTCGTCTTCCAAATAACACTATCATCTGTCATCTCAGTCATCACTCCCTTCTTGATCATGTCACCTTTCACGCGATCCATCCATCTCTTTCTATGTCTACTACTACCGATGTACCCCTCCACATTCATAACTAACATCCTTCTTAATACAGTAGAACCTCGGTAACTTAAAAACCTCCATAACTTCCAAAAATTGTATGTCCCCTTCCCATCAGAGCCCAAAACCTCTACAACTTAAAATACGCAACCTCTTTAATTTAAATAAGTAATCTCTGTTTGGCCCTCAGTAACTTGACAGTGGTAGTGCCCGCTTTAACATCTTAGCACGAATGGGCCGGCACGCCCGGTGTAATACCACGATCACACAGAAGACAGGCGTGAAATGGAACCAATGCCGTGTTTCGTCTGATGAGTGAGGTGCCGGAGGCCTAATTTAAGTCCCTTTCTCTTTACCACCCTTTTCTTATAAGAAGAGGTTGGGAAGAGGAAGTGAATTTGACGGCGGAGGAGATGCATAGGAAGGGGAAATATCCTCTTTATCTGCGTCTCCTCCTCCGTCCTATAAGGGTAGGCAACGCATCTGCAATTGCGGATGTCTATGGGCAGCGGTCGCTTCGCCATTTTGGCGGTTTAAGGTGGCCGCTTGCTCGTTTGCCACCTTATGTTATAAAAAAAAAAAATTCCACAATAGAACATAAAATACTTTGTCATTGAGTTATTTTGAACGAGTGTGCAAAACAAAAGTTTTCGGTATTTATTGCTTGCACGATCTTTTATAGAGCAATATAACAACATAAAAGATAATGTATTCTCCTCTCTACTTGTCATCTACACTATTATAATAAAGCGTGAACACACACAATCACAACATATTTTCAAATAACTCCTCTATACTAATATTATAAAGAGGAAAACATTGTATTTATGTATTTTTAAATGTATTGAAATAACTTAAAAACTACTGGGCCGATTTAAAAAAAAATTTCACCATCAGAAAGGTAATTTATCTGTGACATAGGCTATATTTTATCATTACTAAAGTTTAGGAATTATTAATAAACAGCGTGTTTCTGAACGCCGGCGTTAAAAATTCACTAAACTTTAACTTTTCTTGGCTTACGCTGCCTAAACCGTTAGAGGTATATTAAAATGATGTACGAAAGAAATGTAGATCTCATAAAGTTCTACAGCAAAGTCCTCGATAGCGTATATCTATTTTTAACTGTTCTTACAATAACCACTTTTATGTTTACAAAGTGAATTAAAAACCGCACGCTATTTGCGGCGTTCTTTTATTGGTTTCAATATTAATCCTTATCCAAATAAATGCGTTTCTTATCAGGAGAATTTAATGTAGAATAAAATTGTCTTTACAGTATAAATAGGGCTAATAGTTTAGAAGAAATCGCGAACACAAACAATAAGGGAACCGAAAAATCAACTTACAAGCTACCGAGCTTAGAAATTTGGCATCTTGCATCGGTAGATTTCTGTTATTACTAAGTTAATACTTTTGTTAATAGATTGAAAAAAGGGCGAACGTAAGTTTTGGACATTAAAATTTCACGCGGACGAAGTCGCGGGCAAAAGCTAGTTTTTTTAATAAAAAGCCCTACACTTACGTCACGCTTTAGACTATACATTTTACGCCGTTAAACATAGGGGTAAAATTTTTGGATAAAAATAAAAACCCTAATGTGGGAAAGAGATCATAAGTTGTTGCCAACATCAAGGAAGCAGGGTTTCCATGGTTTGACATCATGTCATGTCATTTTGACATTTGCAATTGATGTTTTGACAAATGTGAACAATAACATAAAAAAAATTATAATTTTATGCGGATGAAGTCGCATGAGAACAGCTAGTTGAAAATAAAATCGATTTAGAAACCGTGGATTGTTTAAAACAAAAGAAAATCACACACTTTTTTAAGTAGACACTAAACCTGCAATGTGCAATGTTAACACTTATATATGACTATTTAAATTTCACTGCCAATCCTTCTCGGGTATTCGAGTAAAAATAGGAACAAGGGTACATACATACATATGTATATACCTGCCTCTATATTAACCTATCCCTAATATAGATAACTTAAAACCTCAAGAACTTGAAATTTTGTGTTTCCCTTGGACTTTAACTTATCGAGGTTCTACTGTACATGCCATTCATCCCTTCTCATAACATGCCCTTCCCATGCTTTTACTTCCTAATTTCTGGCCCTGATTTCATTCCTAATTTCAACCCCTAAGGCTACTCTCAAATTTCCGATAATATAATCATTTCACAGTTTTGCCACATGTATTCTCTTTTCATCCACCCCTTTTACTGCCTAAATTATGCAACTCCCATACAAAATGTTAATAACTTTGACCCAATGAACATACAAGCACTGTCAGAATCAAATTAATAGATTTTAATTGCAAAATTCTTAAAACAATATCTTGTGCCTTTGTTATGTAATTGTTGGAGAAAAAAAAAAAAACAAATCGCAATCTTTTATTTTTTTAAATAATTTATTTTAACACTGTTCCATTATAAAAACATTAATATCTAGGAAGAAGTATTTTGCAAAATAAAATTAAAAGTTTTTAGATAGAACAATTATTCTTGACTAGAAAAAGAGGGAAAAAAATAAACAACAATTGAAATAATAAAACAAGTTATAATTACATTCAACTACAACAACAATAAATTCTAAACTACATACAACATTCATTTTCGACCTACATATTTAATATGCCTACCTTTAGCGATAAGCTGGTCATTTTCTTTGTTGCGAATCTGCACCTCGAGGAAAGCAATCTTGTTCCCCACCTTCTTGGCGACAGCTTCTATCTCCAACTTGTCGCCTTCCGAAACCGTAGCCATGTAGCTAAAATAAAAATAAATCATTACAGACTAGCCTTTGCCTTGGTCTTATAACTTGGTCCGGGAGGAATTATAAAAACAAAAGTGAGTGGCCTATGCCTTCTTCCAGGCTATGTTACATCTATACCAAATTTCATCGAGATCCGTTCAGCTGTTTAGGCTATAAACACTAACAAACATCCATCCATCCATCTAAACTTTCGAATTTATAATATTATATAGTATAGTATGAAGTAGGATAATGCTCTGAATTTTAACTTAATATCTATGTTATTATTATTTGATTACGGAAGACTGTTAATAAATTCAAGATGGACGTCCCAAAATGGCGGCTATAGTAGGATTTAATTTTTTATCCCGGATAAACTGAAAAACTATTAAACCGGTAAATGCGAGCAAACTTTTCCAAATTGCTAATAATTTAAATATAGGTAGTTCCACACAAATTGTGTATGTTGTAACTTAAAGACTTTTTCTTCACCGCATCGTTCACTTTGAAATATATTAATTGCTTAACAAATCTCCACGATCATGAAGTATCATAAAAAAGTAGCTGTAGAAATTCAAATATACCCTACCTAACACTCAGGTCGACGGAGAGTCCACGTCCGACTGATTTATCGTTGGCCAGCAGGGCAAAGGTTGACAAAGTATCAACCATGTGAGCGATGAACCCTCCATGCAGGGTTCCGCCCTCGTTCAGATGTTCAGAACCAACTTCGAGCTCCGATATCACCAAACCATCGCTACAAGACACCAACTTGACCTAAGAATGAAATAATGCACATTAAAAAGCATATCTAAATATACATGAGTGTTACTATTAACTGAAATATTTAAACTAAACAATTTCATACAAATATTTCTTTTACATTCAAGAACAAATTGCACTATAACTTAGGTTCGGGACAGGGTGTGGCTTGTTTCATTTTCTCCAAGAACAACTTGTACTACCACTAAATATATTTCTTTCTTATCCTGACTAAATACCAATGAAATCTGTGCTTTAGCCAAAGCCCAGTTTACATATTGTCAGTAAAGTAGGCCAGTTGCGCTCAAAATAAATGCTGGTATAACACTGGCATAATGTAAACTCTAATTGGCACTAGTGAGCTCTTACAATCAATGCCAGGCCTGTACTGTCCTATGATACTAGACATATGTTGGTATTCTCAGAATGAAATGAAATAAATATGTGCTTCCTAACAAATTCGACATTTCTACTTTTAACCATTCTGCCAGCTCCCTTTGCATAGGTTTTAAGTGATTTCTAAACTACACTTTAACTTAATTAGCTTTGAAACATATTGCGCCGTATCATTGTCAACTGCCACGCCCTTTTTTCAATATTGATTTTATTGTTCATACATTTTTTATTCTTGTGAAATTCAAGGAAAAAGACTTGATATGCATCATTTTACTGTGATTCTCCTGTTAAAGCCTCCATACAAATTTATATTGCTATCTCATATTCTTCAAAGAGAATGTGTGGAAAGACAATATATTCATACAGGTACTTTGCTAGCAGGTTCCCACGGGGGGTTTTAGGTTTTGGAAGTAGCAGTTTGTTTTATCCTCTTGTACACTCCCTTCAACTGAACAATGGGATTTCAGTAAATTACCGCAGATGAAATCAGTACAAGGTAAAGGTTTATAACAGGGTATTTTGTCTTTTCTTTGTGAAAATGAAAGGAAGACAGCAAAAGATCTAAACATGTTTGATTTGATCTCTACTGTTTCAAGTATTGACCGCTCCGATAGACATTTACAATTTGCCGATCACTTACAAGTCTATAAATGTGGATTGCGGGGAAGTTTTTCTATACTCAAACAGTATTTCTTTGCAAAACAACCTAGCTAAATACAGTCATGAGTTCTTAGTCGTTGAACCAATAAACCAAATCTTGTATGTAGTCTTCTTCAATTGAAAATATTTATACTAACTCACTTTACCTACACTAGTATAACAAACAGCCACTTAAGGGCCACACCCTTTGTCTTTAATAATACATCTTAAATATATTTAAATAATCTCACAGCAAAATATGATTTGCCAATACAAATAATTGAGATAGTATTTAGAGTAACTAATTGCAGTAGCTTAAACATAAATCACTTACTCATGAACAAAAGGATTTTCAAAATGGAGGTTCATGATGCAGCCACACCCTTTAATTGTTAGTGCACCCCCATCTTCTAATTGAGTACTTTTAATTTTAATTTATAGATTATACAACTAGTGATTCTTATTAGAAAGCAAAACTTATATGAAACACCTTTTTAGGAACATTTATAACACAAAGACATTCAAAGTGGACATTGCGCTTGTCCGAGAATATAGAAAATCAATAACGGCACAGGGCATCTATGTATATCTAGGTAACATCTAGGTATCATGATTGATTTTGGTACCTAAAGTTGCACAATTCTACACGAAAGATTCCAATAAAGTTATATCGTTGAATTATACACTATTTTAAACATATTTTAGTGTAATAATGAAACAAAGACTTAGATGATAGATTAATACGTACATTACGAAGGTTTCGATCGAAGCGTTTCGAATTCACCACCGTTTTCACGAACAGTTCGGTAATCTTTGCCATCTTGCTACACATTTTGATTACAATTTAACGCAATTAAAAGATGGAACTCAACACTTTGTGTACCACAAAGGGAGACAACCGGAACTATAGAATCGCAACCGCCCTCCGAAGGCTGGAGCGAAATGGGAAAGTATTGATTGAATTTATAAAGGGGATGGGGAACTTGCTACAGATTTTAAGAACTAGCAACAAGTGCAGAATATAGATTATACAATTTGAAATAGTTAAGTGTAATTGCCTGAATAAACTGGTTAAGATTAATATTTGTTTATATTCTTATTTTCAATATCTATGTATAAAACATTATTGTTTACAAATAAATTTATCCGGCTCTAGCTAGGCGGATGAGAGTGGCGCTGGTATCGCGTTATGTCTGTCAAAAGAGAAGCGCCTATTTTTTTACTAGTGTTGGACCCAAACTGTTTATTACCAGAAATCAAAACCTTTCGGCCTTGCTCTGTTTCAGCCGAAACCTAAACTTCAAAAAACACGTTTAAGATTACAATTATGTATTGAAACATAGTGTACTTTTAACATTTGTTGCATATACAGACTTCTTAAAATATGAATCAAAAGCGTTGTAATTTATGTTTCACGATTTTGTACAAAGTTAAGTATATTAAACAATTATTCTTATATTTAATAATAGCAAAAAGTGGTTCTTTGTTTGAGCTCACGAAGCTTTTTATCTTTTCACAATTTAAAAGGTGTAATTTAATTACGAAAGGGATAGCATAGTACATGTCTTATTGGTTTCATGATTTTCTAAAAGATGGCGTTGTACTAAAAAAGTCTCGTGAACAAAATGTTCTATTTTTTATGGTAGAAAGCTAAGACAACACATCTAGAAATAAAATGAAATTACTGTACCCAAGTCCAAATCTGAAAGAGAAATAGTTTCTCAGTAAAGTGTACCACAAAAATAAAAACATCTTTTTGTTTGTTAGATAAGATAAATGAGTGGTTTAATGTGTTAAAGCGCCTGAACATTTATAATTTCAATTTAACACGAACGTAAATTCAATGCTATATATAAAGCAAAAATTTACAACATGCATAAATATCTTGAAAATGGTAATATGACAATATTCGTTGATAATAACATTATAATTAGGTTCTACTTTGCATGTATATCTTTATTTTAGGTTTACGGTGAATTGTTAATTGCTTGTCACATTTGAGACTTAATAATTGAAACTGCTGGCATTGTAGACAGGGACACAATAAAGTCTATTTTTTAATCGATGTCTATTTTATTACAATACTTTGGAAGTGTTCTCGGGAATAATTCAAAATGTATTAAAACCCTTTTACATAAACTTTTTTATTTATCTAGGGTATTATTTAATTATACTAGCTGTTTCCGTGCGGCTTCAACCGCATGAAATTATAAAAACTTTATTTTATTGTTTGCATTTGTCAAATTCTCAATTGCAAATGTCAAAATTACCGTTACTATAATAACCTTGCTTCCTTAATCTTGGCAGCATGTAGTTTTCTTTCGCACATAAAGGCTTTTGAAATTTATTTACCCCTTAAGTGTAATAGTTTGAAAATATATAGCCTATAGCGTGTAGTAAGTTAAGGGCTTTTTATTAAAAAAATAATGATACAAAAACATGCTGTGATTGCTGACATCCTACGCCACAAAGTAGTGTGTGTTTACGCTTTTTTACATTAGTATAGAAGTATAGATTGAATTCACACTGGGCACTGCGCGTGTAATATAAGCACGTTGTACCGCGGCATTGACCGGCTCCAAATTTGAAAGTGGGTTTTTGTTTTCGTTTTAGTCTGGTCTCACGTAACACTATCCTGAATGCATTGTGCGAAACGGTCGTCCAAACATAACTCACGTAATATTAAGTATAATGTTGTTTTGATTTACTAACATAGTGTCATGCCATTTGTACAAGTTATGTGTTTATTTTTGAACACGGAGGTTCTTGAAATACTTGTCTCTTTGAAAATTATATTTCTCTGTATACTTATGGCCATAAAACAAAAGTATAATATCGTTTGTGATCTATCGAGCTCTTTTCAAGTTGTGACAAGTACTCTTGCCCGGTGGGCGTTAGCGAAAGCTGGACCCGTTTGTAGATGAGTTCACTTCCGTAAAATATACGTTAACCATACATTTAATATTATCTGGACTTTAATTTTACATGAATTACTAAAACACCTAAGGATTTTATATTTCCTCTTGTAAGGTCTGAGTTAGCGTTCTGCGTTATTATCTATGCTACAGATCTTAGAATGATTTATTTTGGCATTTACTGGACTGGATTGGTCAAAGAGCATTTGTAATTCAGTCAGCTTTATCTGTACTAATATCATAACGAGGAAAACTTTGTTTGTTTGATTGTAATGAATAGGCTCAAAAACTGGGTCGATTTTAAAAATTCTTTCACCGTTAGAAAGGTAATTTATCTGTGAGTAACATAGGCTGTGTTTTTTATTTCTTTTTTATTATTTTAAAATTTCACACGGACGGAGTCGCGGGCAAAAGCTAGTTTGTTGATAAAAATAATCAATAATATATTTTCCCGGTAGCGCATCACTGTTACCTAATTATTAGAATAAGACAGAGTTTATCGCGTTACAAGGAATATTTCTCTAGGTGTAACACCGCGGGTGGCGACTGTAATAATAATAATAATAATGTCGTCGGCCCGGTGAGTCTATTAGACATATCGTTTCCGGTTGTTCTCGCCTTGCGGACGGTGCATACTTG